GTAAATAGTAAATGGCCTGTACTTGGCTTGTAATATATTCATACTCCTGTTAACGTGTAAAAAGTTGCCTATATAAAATTTAGACAAAAAAAAACAAAGCAGATTTGACTTGATTAATGGGCAATATATTGTGCAACCAAATTATATATATATAAAAAAAACTTCAGGTAGAAGAAATAAAGATGGCAAGGTAGTAACAGATTGCTTTTCAGTCAAAGTACTGTGCTCATTCATCCTAAGAGTAGCATTATTTTTATTTTGAAAAGAACAAAAAAAATATAAATCTAAAATAATTATTTGTTTAAAAATACATTTAAAATTCATGCAAAGAAATAAGTGGGAAAAAATATATTCTTTTACAATGTATATATGGTGCTAAAAGCATAAAAAAATACAAAAATGTTGGTGATGGTTTCATCTGCAAATGAGACATAAAATAAAAGTAGGGACAATCATCTTGTCCGATAATTTTAAGGATGTTTGCAAAAATGTCGGTCTTAAATATGATACAAATAACTTACCCGGCAGGAAAATGCTCTTTAGTGCAACACTGCAGAGCAACGCAATTCAAAATGCTTTATCAACAAATAACAGACAGTAGGATGAATAAAAAATTCTCTTAAGAGAGATATACTTTGAGTAAAGTGCAAAAACCTGAAAAATAATTACGTATCAGGAATATTGAACACGATTTCTTAGTGTCTTTAAAAAGGAACTGTAATAAAAGACCTGTCTATAATAAACCAAAAGCACCCCTTCCTTATGAGGTAGAATATTCTGATCATAGAGTTCTTATTATTTATAACAAACATATCTGCTTCAAACAGAAAACAAAGATGTGTGAAAGTTTTCAAAGACTCTGGCATTTAGTTGTGGTCTTTTAAAGGATTAGTGATAAAATATTATCAAGACTTAGATTGTTTTTATTTTGGTTCTTTGTGTTCTTCGCCAGCCTTTTATGGTAATACTATGCAAATATGTAATCCCTAAAAGGATTACAGATTAATATTTAACAATAATTATTTTTCAATCAGAAGTAATCATTTTAATTAAATTTTAATTAAATTAGAATCCAATTTATTAATTGCTGAATTGTGAAAAGAAAACAGCATGTACAGTCAAAATACAATCTTTCCTGTGTATTATTTACTAAATGTTTTTCTTTATTTGCTATGACGACATCAATAGAAATAATTTTAGGGAGGATGTTTATTCATTTCTTAAGGTTCAAAGGTTCACATAAAATAAGATTAGTATACCTTCAACTTGTGGACTAACTAGAGGCACAAATGGCCATTTTATATGAACAAAAACCCTAAGGACTGGAAAAACTGTTACAAAATTACCTAAAGACAACAAAATCATTGTCTTTAAAATCAGTGGCCATAACAAAGCCCTGATCTCAGTCCCAATGAATGTTATTGGGCAGAGCTTAAAAGTTGCATGTAAGCAAAGAGTCTTACAAATTTGTTACAGTTCCAGTGCCAGTTTAGTCAGCTGACTCATCTAAAATACAGGCAGATTACTAAGAAAAGCTTGTGAAATGGTAGTCAAGGATATGTCATATGTTTAAAACGGCAATCCTCACTGATATTAATAATGCATGTAAACTTCTGCAATTGAAAACAATCCATCTTTCTCTTAATATCTTCATATTATTGGATTTAGCAAATATAAATAATGCTAGTTATACTATCTGACCTACGAAACATTTACCTTCTCTTGATTTTCAGACAGGCATTATATGTAACTATCTTTTTTCAGCTGTATGTAAACCGATAAAAAAAAAATTCAAACTACAAGAGTAGGCCTGACAGTGATGGTGGTGGATGATGAAGGTAAAATCTGTAGATAAATTGGCAGTTCTAGTAATGTAATTTTCTCCCAATATTCCTCCTTCAGCTTAATATTTTGTCCTCTAAAGTGATTATTCAATCCATCAGTATTATCTCCTTTGTTTCTCATGGAGAACCAAGCTGAACAAAAAGGCAGGTGGAATATCGCATGTCAGATAACTTCATGGTGGATGACTTTAATATCCACAACTGCAGCCAGCTAGGCTATACACTAAAATCGTTCAATAGCCAATGAAGCCACAGGCCACTAAACCAATATGGTGAACTATGGCAAAATGGATGCGGTCCTCGGAAACCCTGTTGGTCGCAGTGTAATTTAATCCAGCCCTTAGGACAAGTATCGCTCAACAGAAATGGAAAAAAAAAAATTTCATAGACTTTTAAGCCAGAGGATACATTTTTAAAACTACCCTAACCCCCATCCCTTCTCCCATGTTACAAGACTTTCATTTCTACCCCATCGCATTAAGGTCTGCAAATTGGCCGTAAAAGCAAAATACAGTCTGGTTACTATTCAACAGACAAATGGTGCAAACACCAGGTTGTTAAAAATACTGCGGATAAAGATACAGACTGGTTTGTAAGCATACATAGGAGACAACACTACGAGGGCAGAGGGATTTGATGTATTGAGCACACTTCATCCACAACTATGAAATACAACATTGTATGGTCAAAGAGCAAAACATGAAATAAATACTGCACAGACTCTTGGCTGGCTGTCAGGTTAACTGCCTTATAAAAGAGGTGCCCATTTATAAAGCAGGTCAGACAGGGAGAGGAGTTTTGATTGGTTTTCAACAGGTGGGTGGGGGGAAAACAGATAAGCAAATTGAGCTACAGCTTCTGGAAAAGTATTCATACCCTGAGGATGCTGCAGCCCTATATATCAATGTATTCGAGGCATTCGCAACACCCTGCATTGAGGAAGAAAGAATACGATACTTTTTTTTTTAATGAGATTTTTAATACCGTAAAATATTTCTGCATTTGTATTTTGCCCTCTCTGTGATATCTCCTAAAAACTTACGTACTTAATCTTCAATAATTTGTTTAATCTGAGTGGACAAAAACCTTTAGATCTACAATGTTTAAAGGAGATGTAAATCACTGTAGGAGCCATTGAATAAAACCGAAAACTAAACTTTGCAACACTATATAGTTGCATCTGCGGTGAACAAAAAGGGTTTTCTTTGGTAGCTCTGTCCATTCCACTGGATCAATCATTAAAACATTTCTGCCATAAGCATAGATCTTTGTGACAAATGTGTTTTAAAGGAACAGCAGTCAACACATCACCTGACAGAGCCTCATCTGACACCCATGTGAGAGTAGTCAGCGGTGGGAAAAAATGGCTCCGCTCAATTCTACTCTATTACTAAGCTTTGATAAAACCTAATTTCCCTGGGGCCTCAACTTTAGTTGAACTCAGTTTGGCTCAGTTCCACTGTCAAAGAAGCAGACAACGTAACATATAGCACAAGCTGAACAGGAGGCAGGACATAAATGTATAACACAGATGGACGGACCTTGCTTTTTGAGAGATGTGGTGTTGTACAGCTGGGGGAGAGTGAGCTGTAACTTTTAAACTTCATCAGTTTAGACTCCCCCATGAATTCTACGGTACATCCATTTTTGGAAAAAAGGAGTTTTCTGTAAGCAACAAGATTAGTGTGAAAAGCTTGACTGAAGCATCTGCTAGAATCCGTGCCAATCCAGTTTCAAAGATGTGCATGGAGCACACAGAAAGCCTGGTTGTACAATAGTAAAATTCTTACTCTTTGAGATTAATAAAAAAAATACTGGGTAAGGGGGTGGAGTACAACTTTGTCTGTCCGGCCAAGTTGCATTATGTTGTGTCGTATGTTTGCTAATGAAAAAAAGCATACGAGATAAATGTGTTTTCTTTTTTATACCTCCAGTTTCTCCTTTTCTGTGCCCCTGTTTTGGAGTAAGCTGACAACTAATAAACCACTAATTTTAAAAGACAGAATGGATGTTAATGCTGCCCGGGATTTTAGAAAGGTTTGGTCTAGTTTAATTGGGGGTGGACAATAGAACCGAAACTATTATCATGATAAATTTCAGTCGATATGATACATTTCCAATATCAAAATAAACAATATAACACCTGTACAAACTTGTGTACATTATTATTCCAAATCAAGGTTTGAAGTAAGACTTTAACTTGGCAAGGCTAAGCTCAGTCACACAAAATGATTCAATTCACACATCCCATAATGTCACAGAACAACTTCCTGTCCATAGTGACAAGCTTGTACTCTTTTTTTAAAGGCTGCGTTCTTCTACTCTGACTAACTTTAAGCTGAGCAACAAGCTGTTTCCTTATGAGCAACATACTTTCTACACCTTCTGAACACAACAATCGTCTCATCCATCATATGCTAAAGTTGGGAGGATTTGTGTGGACAATTCCGCCAGGTATAGGTCATTTAAAATGGGGACACATGGTCACGCTATCATTGCCACTAATGTATAGCTAAAACTTGCTTTTTGAAGCTTAGCAGAAGAACAGCTCAGTATTTTAGCTGTAGAGCACAAAGTTGGATTATCAGAGATTCTGATTATCCAACTGAAAATAACAGCATGGCTGTAAGGCCAAAATGATAGTTTATGATATTTATCCATCAATGATTACTTAATTTGTATAACATCAGCAAAATGCAAAATGTGACTTGGGTCTCTTTTTAAACAATATTTGCTGCCTTTTGGGTCTTTTGGGCCTTTTGGGCCTAGTCTCTGATTGATTTCTGTACATAGGGATTGATATTCTTCCATGCAAGGAAGATCAAGCTCGAGACTGGATGTAGAGAAACTTTTTTGCAAATTTTCAGTTGAGTTTTATCTGGGACTTTGACTGCGCCATTCTAACACATGAATGGAACTATAAATGTTCTCTGAAAACCCCATGATGGATACTAGATCAGGCTTTGAAGACAAATGCAGGCTAAAACTTTGTTGGGAAAAAAATTAAAAGCATGTATTCATTCTGTTCTCATTCGACTTCAAAGTATTGCACAGCTTAGTGTGTCTGTATGTTTGCAATGTTACAAAATATAAAAAGAATTCAATAGTTCAAATGTATTTTCCAAGCTTCTGCTTGTATGAATGCCAGGTACTCACAGATGTAATAATATTCTCTTCCTGGTCGGAACTCAAAGCCCAGAGAAAAGGGAGTGAAGAGCTGAAACTTCTCTGAAAACTTTAGTGGCCCGTTGGGGGAATGCGGCCTGTTGCACTCCCAACGCTTGTAGCCTTTGGCAGTGTGGTCGCATGTACTGTAGCCGTCATAGTTGACCATGTAGAGGACATAGCTCTCTGTCCGTTCCTTAGGCACAGAGTCCTCATAATGAGGACAGTAGACATCCAGGTAGTCATTTATGCAAACATCGATGTGATAATCACCACGGAGAAACCTAGAAGAGAAGTAAAAGAAAAACGGTTGACATTTACAGGAGCTTAAAATTTGCCTAAAACTTTAAACACAGATGGAATTTATAATCAAGTTGAAAAAATGTCTTCTACATCCCCTTCTACTTAAGTAATGTATAAATCCACCTGCACTCTCATCTACACTAACAGATTTAGATGGATTGGTTTATCTATAAATCTACACTTGCAACAAATATTTACTCACACATACAACTGCACCCCATCTAAATCAGAGTAAACTGGAGCATCCCACTTACAGAAAATATGTGAGCAAAAAAACAGACTTTTAGTTCTCTACAGAAATATTACCGTGAAAAACTGGGTATAAGATAGAACTGGTCAGAAGGATGCACGATTACAAGATAGTAAATGTCATGACAGGAAAAATACGGAGCCAAGCTGCATCTGAAAGGCTGTGCAGTGAAGCATCTTTACAGCAACAATGATCTAGAACAGGCTGCACAGGGTCAATGGGGTGCCGTGTGTACAGGGAGTTTCATTAAAAGGCCACACACTTTCATCGTCAACATCAATATGCAGACAAAGACTATTTCTTCCTTCAAAGACACATCTACAGTAATCTATGGATCTTAACTGAATTTAAGTGGTTTTTCTGATGTTAGCATTCCATTTCATGGAAGAAGGTTTGTTTTATTTATTGGACAATGGCATTCACTAAACAAAATGTTAATCACCTATACATATAGTTACCAAGCAGCAGATGAATGTAAATGGGTTAGATTATCATGAAAAAGTAAATGTATGTCATTAATAAAATTAGTAAAATGGTTTATACTATACAGGTTTGTTATGACAGTGTAAAGTGGTCAGGGTAAAGCATGTATAATGCAGGTTGTAAGGAGTGTACTTCCTTTTATAAGTTACTGTAAAGCTTAGTTCCCCCAGTGGATCCAAGGCAAATTCATATTCCCATTAGCAGGGCTGACAGTAGCCCTCCACATAGACCCCTGTTTGAACACTTTCATTTCTGATCTTACACTGAGAGAGCCTACGATAGCCAGAAACCTTAATGGGTCGAGGAGCTGTACTGTTCTGTCTATAACAGAGCCGGTTCTCTAGGCAGATAGACTCTTATTCTATCCCTACTGAATCCCTGAAACATGCATCTCAATAAGGCAATGTTTCTCAATCTGTAATTGTCCATTTCTGTTGTGCTTCTGTCAATTACTGTCTGCAAAGAACAGGTTTCTTTGCAGGCAGGACTGGAGTAAAGCTGGTCCTCTGCTTTTGTGGTCAGTCTGTATCAAACTTAGACATGTTTTGGATCAAGAAATGGTATTCTGCAAACCTCTGTTATAAAGAATAGTTATTTGGACTACAATTTACATCTTGCCCAACCAGTCTGCGTACTTTCCTCTGATAAGAATGATGAATTTTATCCATGGATGCATTTTACAGATTAAAAATTCCTTAAGCCCAATTTCTTCCCCACTCTGATGCATAGTTTGGGCTTCAACAAGTCATCTTTACAATATTCAAATGCCCAAATACTTTGAATTAATGCTATGTGATTGGATTATTTTAAATGTTTAACTTAATTTGGTGGGTGATGGGTCTAAAATTTGAGCTTTTTCATTTCTAAAATAAGTTTTAAATTCTGTTAAAGCGCTTTAGATACAGGCTCTAGATACCTGGGAGCCTGGTGAAGTGCAGGCTTGGGAATGCAACATGACTCAGATCCACTTGTCCTGAAGATCAGATAGTATTTTGGTCAAACATGGTTTACTCACTACTCACCTAATCTGAATGTTTGTACGATGGAATGTTTGTTTGAAAAAAATCAAGCAACAAATTGAGCCAAGCCATTTCTCATTTTTGTCATCATACAAGTTCCTCAGGCCCTGCTCAGTGTGTTATGGTACATCTGTGTCTATGTGAGCATGAGTGAGCATGAAAATCATTTTTTTCCCTTTCTGTTTACCCATGTAGGGTAAATACCAGGGTAAGGGTGTTTACAGCCAAGGCAGGGAGGAACTCATCTGTAACATTTCATTTAAAACATGTCTGCGGAGGTCCAAGAAAAGCCATGCATCTCTCTTACTGCTTCAAAATGTCACTGACTTGATGGCCGCATCATCCCACCCGCTTGCCCCACCTTCTGTGTTTTTGCACATACTCTTTGGGAGTGTGAGCGAGAGACAGCATGAGAATTACAGCGGGTATCCATGTGTGTGTGTTTGTGGGATGTTTTAGCTGCCCTTCTCTCTGTGCCTCAGCAGACAGAATAGTGGCTTGTGGCCCTGACTGCAAATGAGCCAGAGGATGTTTGGGTGAGTGAGCTCATAAAAAGGGACAGGACAGGCATTTGTAACATGCCTCACAAACACTCACACACAAACAACAATGCCACCTATGCGACAAACACAACCAGCTCACACCTCAAGAGCTTCCAAAAGTATTTATCAGGTTTGCGTAATCAATTGACAAGTTACATGGGGGGAAAAGATAAATTTGACAAAGTTGCAGCAGTAATACAGCCAAAAGCTGCTAATGGCACAAAGACAGAAAGGGAATAAAAGTAAAAAACTGACATAGAGTGGGGAGAAGAGGAGGACCTATTTCTACAAGACAAGGCAGGAGACAAAGAGGACATGGCACTACTGCTAATTTTAACACCATGTTCTCTCTGAAAATCTGTGCAGGGTTCATCCAAGCATATATCATTTCAGAAGACTCCAATAAAATGCCATTTATATGACCTGAGGGTGTGAGCAGTTAAGTCTCATCTGAGAAAATCTTGTATCTTTTGAATTTGTTTTATGTAATGTTCCCATAAACACCAGTTATTGTGGACCTACTGTAATGTGGCAAATTCAGATATGGCAGATATCTCATCTTTAGCAATTCAAGACTTTTTTTTATGTCCTGTTTGCCACTTAATGAGGTATTAAATAATTTGAGGGGCGGTTTTGTTGTCATTATTTTTTCTTTTTTTTTTTTTTTATTCGACTTTCTTTAAAAACTATGGGCCTGCTCAGAAAAAAACATTTTTGGTGGAAGTGAAAGGTTTGTATCCTTTCTACTGCTTGTTTCAATTACAACAGCATACGTTTTATCTAACAACAGCAAAATCTGAGAATGGGTGGTCACCGGTATAGAGATTATAATTAAAATGCTGTCATGTCTCAGCAGGGCCTATAATAATAACACATATTCAAAGGCATTTTATGTATTATTCTTAACTCTTTCATTTCTTAAAACTGCAAGAAAGATGTGGAATCTAGTCTATGTCAGTAAACAGCGGCCTAGGACTGTGTCCATTAAACTGGTTAATAGAGTAGATCTTAATTAATTGGGTAAATCTCCTATCCAGTTTAGATTGTTCCTGCAAGTGAAAACCCAGTTTGGAAAAAAAAATTTTTGTTTGTTTTTTTGTTATTTACTTTCTGTAATGAATTGTGTAATTTATAAGCTGGAATATGGCATTTTGGGTAATTCTTTACGACAAAAAACATTGTTTGGTGAGAAGCTTGACACCTCGGTAGTTCAGTGCGATGCACCGATAAGCCTCTAAATGTACTTTGGGTCAGAAGTTCCCGTGCTGTTCAGTGGATGGGACTTCAAGCACGTCCATGTTAAATGTGTCCAACCTATTAAACAATTGAATCATTATATTCAAGATGGATTTTGTGAGTACTCAGAAGTGACCAGCATCCTGCTCAACTTATACAACAATGGCGACTCCATGTAAGCTGAAAAAAGTAAAAAAAAAAAAAGAGTCATAAGAATGAGCAGAAGAGTGCTGCAGTTGTATGTTTTGGCCACAGATGGCAGTGTCATAGGAAAACTTCATAATGCCTCTCTAAGCTCTGTTCCATGAGATAAATTAGCATTCCATTTAGCTTATTAGTATGAATTTCTGCCTGATAAGGATGAGGTCCGATTAGCACAGACCTTTCAAACATTTTGTTCTGAGGAGGGATCAGTCCCTGATGATGTCCTAATGTCCAAGCTGTTATTTCTAGAAACATACATTTATATGTACAAAAACCATTTCCTTTAACTTTTAAATAGGAAATCAATAGACTCCCCACAAAGTTAAATTTCAATCAAGCAATACATGGAAAATCCACATCCGTGAGAAATATATTTTTTTACATTTGCCCTAGTATATACTTCAAAACAGCTGGGGAAATTTGGATAACAGCTGCACAGCAAAATACTTTTACTCAGCTGTATATTAATGTAGCCACTGATTTAAACAAGTAAATATCCAACTTTGCATCCACTTAAAACAAAGTAGACTGGGGCAGTAAATCTGGACCCTGCATATTACTAGATTTCAGCCAAAACACTAACTGGTGATAATAGGAGAACAGCCATCTCAATCTTTAGTCCATAAAAGTGACAAGCCTATAATATTCTTACATTTCTTTATTTCAAATGCAGTTCATTTTAGTATATTTTCGAAAAGTTTTGAGATTCCATGCATGAAAAAAGAGAGCCTCTAAATTAGAGACAGGACCAAAATCTGTTAAAGTTAGGAAAAAAGTCCATGTGGAGTTTTTTTTTGCATAGTTACCCAATCCTCCCCCTTAACACCACACACATGCATACGCTCCACCCAAACCGCAGTCAGATCTCTGGAGTTTACGACTTCTGGCAGCAATTTTTTGCATTCTTGTGAGAAACTGTAGCAGCGGAGATTGACAGCGGACGCCCTCAAGCAGTTAAATAGGTAATTAGGGGCAGAACTTGGATGGGAGGCTAATTGTCAAATGGTGATAATTACATGTTTTTGTTATGCCACAGCTGGTCCAATGAGCTTTAGGTCAAAACACAAAGATGGAGAAATCAACTGCATGCAGCATGGATGGTTTTCAGAGAGGCGGACATCCTTTTTTATCACCCAGTGGTTCCATTTTCACACCACTGCCACCTCTTCAGGGTTTTTGGGAAAAAACTCAGGGGCTAGGTACTGTCAGCTCCCACACATAAACTTGCTTGGAGTCACAAACTGAGT